CCGTCGCGGGGAGGGGGACCCGGGGGCGCATACGCCGGAACACACGCCCGGGCGACCCACGCGTGGAGCCGCCGGCAAACGGCGCTCGGGGGCTCCCCATCGCTGGTGATCTGCCATGTGAGGGGGCCGTGAGGGAGTGCAATCCCCCCCCCCCCCCGGGGGGACAACATCTGGGCGGGGCGGGATTATTCTAGACCGGAGGACCACGGGGATGCGGGGGCGCGCCGACACCGAATTCCCCCCCACCCCCCGTGGGCCGAGACAATCCGCCGATTCAAATGGCCATCGTGTGGGTACTGTCGGGTCTCTTTTTTCTGTCTTTTCTTTTTCTTTTTTTTTCCTCCGGGCATGGACCGCGCACGCCCCCCCAGCGGGGGGGTGGAGAACCGGCTGCCAGGGGAGGCATGGCCCATGCGCCGGGAGTCGGTCTCGGGACGTGATCCTGTCCCCGTGGTGAGAGGATCACGCGATGCCCGCCGCTTTCGTCCGCTCTCTGGGAGGATCGCCGCTCGCCCGCCGGCGTCCCCCGGTCCGCCGCCGGAGCAGACGATCGGTCCCCCGGGCGGGGGGGGGGGGGGGGGGGGGCGGAAGACCAGGGGAGGTATGCCTTGCCTCCGGCAGCCCCCCGCCCCCCTCGGACCCCGGACCCTGGGCCTCTCGATGCTTCCAAATGCCCGCACCCGGACTCTCGGTCCTCTAATTCTCCCCGACGGGGGGGGGGGGGGGGTGCAAGCTGGGAGCCAGCGAGATTGGTGTGTTCCGCCCTGGGCTGGGGGTGTGGTCCCGGGGGAAACCGATGACACAGAGAGGGATCGGAAATGGACCGGGCTGGGTGGCGGAACGGGGGGGGGAACTGGAAAAGGAGAATCCCCAGAATCAGCCAGCCTATCGGGCCTTGGCTTCGGCCTCTCCTCACACGCGAATGTCCCCCGCGCCCCCGCCCTTGGTGCCGCGCAAGGAGACCGCGCCCCGGCGGCCTGGCCCGTGTTAGGTAGGCTACCATCATCATCATCATCATCATCATACTGCCAAGGGTCCCTCCCCCGAGGGAACTACCGGCACATAGGAGAGCGGAGCCCATTTGCCCGGACGCCCTGAACACCGTTGCACAGCCCAAACCAAGGGCGCGAGGAAGGGACGCCCTTCTCGGACGCAGCCCGGCACCGGGATGCCTTGGCCTGGCCGGCGCGCGGCCGGGGGCGGGGTGCCGGTGTCTGAAGGGCCCCCCCCCCCCAGTGGGCCCGAGCATTTGCCTTGTTCTCGATGCGGGCCACCGCGCCCCACAGTCCCAGGGACTGGGCGCATCACTGGCGTGTGTGGCGTCCTCGGCCCGGCACTCGGTCCCCCGGCCTCGACTCTCCCCCCCCCCCAACGGCAGGGGGCAGCAGTCAGGAGAGGGCGGAGGCGCGTTGGTGGCCCGGAAGAATAGCCCAAGAAGTGCCCCGGGGCCGGAGGGGGGAGGGGGGGGCCAGACAAGAAGGCAGGGTACGCTGGTCACCCGGAACAAGGGGCCCCCGAGCTTGGCTTCCAGTCAGCCGCACACGGCGCCACAAGCGCCGGTCCAAGGCTCGGCGGCGCATGCTTCCGTCCCGCCAGTTGGCCCGGCGTCGGTCCCCACCCCTCTGGCTGGGCGACCCATCGCCTCGGACCCCATCCACAGTCCCTGGTCTGGTCCGGGGAAAGCGCAGGCAGCGCCCCCCCCCCCCGCCCGCCCCCCTCTCCTCGGCTTGGGGCGTCGATCTGTCCCGGCCTCCCTTCGCACCGAGCCAGCCCTCCGCACTGAGCCCTTCCTCCGCGGTATGGGCAACAGTCAAAAGGCCCCGTCCTCGGCCGAGGGGCGCCCCGGGCGCCCGCACGACATCGGAGCCCCCCTCCTCTCGCCATCTCCCCTTCTCGCCCCCCCCCCTCCTCCTCTGCTGTTTCTCTGCCCTTGCCGCACCCTCGCCCACACCCGCGCGCGCTCCGACGCTCGCCCCCCCCCCTCTCCTCCCGGCACATCGAGCCCGTCCCCCTGCCTTCCCTCCCTCTCCCGCCCTCTTTTTCTCCGGCCCCTCCCGTCCCCCGTCCGGGCGCCCTTTTCTTTGTACGCCCACAGGCTCCAGCCGCCACTTGGTCACGCCCCGGTCCACCTCCGGCAGTCACCTCTCATTCGCTGACACACACATCCGCTACCGATGACACTTGCTCGGGCGCCTGGCAGACACCATGGTCCTGTCGGCGGTTTTCATTCTCGACATCAAGGGCAAGGTCCTGATCTCCCGCAACTACCGTGGCGACATCAACATGTCGGCCATCGACAACTTCGTCCCCCTGGTGGTCGATGTACGTGAGACGCGGCCCGCATGTTGACCTTGCCTCCTGGCTCCCCTCCCTGGGGCGGCCGCTGGGCAAACCCCTGGCAC